GCCAGTGGGCTGTGGTTAGGTACATGTCTTAACTCTCCAAGGAGATTACCAGGTTCCTATACTTCTTTAATAAATTCCCTAAGATCAGTATTATGTTTTTGTTCTTCTGTTGTTACCACTGTTGTTCATCTCCACAGAGCCTGACACACCTATGTGCTCAAGAAACCTGTGCTAAATGTATAAACAGGTTGATCATTTCAAAGTTTGATGTTGCCCTAATTCTAGGACTGGAATGTTATTATACCACAGTAGAATTAAAATGTATCTAAATTCCAGAAAAAGAGGTCACATAACAGTAACTTCTAACTTTTAAATGAATGTTTTTTCATTCGTTACTAGCTTTCCGGTGGTGCTCTAAGGAAAAAAAATAAAAGTTAGGAAATGCCAGAACACATTTTCCTAAAAAGTTATGGGTTGCAAATTATATTTTTCAGCATTCTGTTAGTGTTTTCTTATTTAATAAGGAAGTCTTGTGTTTTTTTTTTAATTGCTTCGTGAAGGAACAGTCACCCAATAATTTATCCTTTATATTACATTATTCCTTGGCTTTTGTTGTTCTTGCCACTCAGAAAGGCCTAATACCTGTCTTTACAACTGTCAATCTTACATGAAATCTTTTATGTTCCCAATTATATGTGATCTCTTTCATCTGCCTTACATCATAGCTATGTACATCGTTTTTAATCTCTATGAATAGGTGATAAACCGAGTGGTAATGACTAATTTTTGTAAACTTTAATAAATGTGTTGAATTCCTATCAGACTGGAATAACACCAACTGCCCTTACACATCTGAAAATACAGTCTGTACCCCTTAAGGTCAAAATGTGAAAAAAATTAATTAATTGTATTAATAAGGTACTATCATTATTTCAATTGATATTTTCTTACAGAAAAAAATTTTAAATAAAGACTAAAATTAATATTAATAATGTACTATCATTATTTTAATTGATATTTTAATACTTACAAAAAAATTTTTTAATACTAAAGACTATTTTTCAGGGAAGCAATAAAAAACATAAATAAGGAAAATTTACACTATCTGTTACATTAAGCCTTAAAACATTCACTTATAGATAAGAAGGTAGTTGGGAATGTCTCAATGGCAAAATGAAGTACAACAAAGCTCATACATAGTTTTAAAAAAAAAAAAATCAGCTCCTTGGCCTATCTGGGTCCTGATCTATTACAGGATAACAGTATCCCCATAACTTAGCTAACACACTGAAAAGAACAGAATGATCAAAAGGTGATACATACAACCACATTTATAACATCACAATTGTATTTAAAAACCACTACCTGCCCAAATGGAAGTGAAAACCATCATAGCATGTGTTAGCACTATAGATACACACCACTGGGACTGTCCACTACAAACTGTACCATCATGACAACACAGCACCGACTGGGACACGGTGACATAAGCAGTCATTCACAAGCCAGATGATCACACCACCCACTACCCACCACGCACAGTGGAATATGTATAACACACTGTTTTTCAATTACAATATCATAAACGCTTCAAATTCCCTTAAGAATAGTTCCTTCTTAAAAAAAATTAAAATTATAGACTCTGAAATAAATGAACTACCCTATTTTGAAAAGATCCTCAGGTTATCATGAAAGACAGCATTAGCTAAAAACCACTGTCTGGCTGCAAGACAGTCAGTCCTTCTTACTACACTGGCCATATCTATGTCTTCCAAACACATGCACACACCCTCCAAAGCAAGCACTCTGATAGGAAAAAAACATACTACGGAGAAAAGGCTACCAGATGTGAAGTCACAGGACCTCCATTCCAGTCCTGGCTGGTCCCTTTTCCAGTCATCTGACTCAGAACTAAAGTTTTTTATCTGATTGCTATACAAATCAAATGGCACACTCTATGTAAAGGAGCTCTACTTTTGTGGGGTTTTTTATTTTTTATTTTTTTTGTATTACTGTAGGCATTCAAATAATTGTTAGCTGAGTCTAGAATACTTGAATACAGCTTGTTCTCATTTTTTTTTTAAGAGAATCTGTTCTTCTTTGAGTCCAAAAGGTCATTTCTAGTTCATGGCAAAATTATAACTGCATCAGTGCCTTCAAAACTAAAATATTAAAAGGAGATGGTGTGCAACAAGGGTCTGTAAATGCCAAAGGGCCAAAACAATCAGAATCATAGGCAGGAATCCTAAACCAAGTAAATTTTGAGTCATATTCGGGAAAATAAAAAGCAAGAATTCTCGTGTTGCAACATAAACATGTAGGATATGGGGCACCTGGGTGGCTCAGTAGGTTAACCATCAGACTCTTGCTTTTGGCTCATATCATGATCTCAGGGTGGCAAGATGGAGCCCAAATACATCTGACTCCACACTCAGTGGGGAGTTTGCTTCTCTCCCCCTCTCTTTGCCCCTCCCACTACTTGTTCTCTCTCTCTCTCTCTCTCTCAATAAATCTTTTAAGATGTAGGATTGAGGGGCACCTGGGTGGCTCAGTGGGTTAAAGTCTCTGCCTTCGGCTCAGGTTGTGATCCCGAGGTCTGGGATGGAGCCCCACCTCCGGCTCTCTGCTCGGCAGGGAGCCTGCCTCTCCTCTCTCTGTGCCTGCCTCTCTGCCTACTTGTGATTTCTGTCAAATAAATAAATAAAAATCTAAAAAAAAAAAAAAAAGATGTAGGATCGAGTAAGATGATTAGTAGGTCTATAGCAGAGGGGCTAAGATGAGGAGAACATATAATCAAATATAAAGTCAAAGATGGCAGAACATCTGACAAGTTTAAGCTTCATAACACATCCATTAGGAACAACTTAATAGTCCTGAGCCAAGAATGATATGGTGAAATGGTATTTGAGAAAAACTATCCCAGCAGCTGTGTGGAGGATAAACTGATCAGAGAGGAGTATAAAGGAAACCAGTTTAGAAGTGTTTATGTTAAGTAATACAATTTAGTTTCTATAATAAGGTGGTAACTAAGATGATGAAAAGGGATAAATCTGGGACAGCTGGGTGGCTCAGTAGGTTAAACATCTACCTTTGATTCAGGTCATGATCCCAGGGTCCCAGGTTGGAGTCCTACATCAGAGCTCCTTGCTCAGTGGGGAACCTTCTTCTCCCTCTGCTTCTGCCCCTCCCCCTTCTTGTGCTCGAGTGTGCTCTCTCACTCTGACAAAAATAAATAAAACCAAAAGAAAGAAAGAGAGAGAGAGAGAGAGAAAGGAGAAAGGGAGAAATCTGATACACACTGCAGAGAGTCAATCACCCTTGGTGATAGGTTGAATTAGGGAGGTGGTAAAGACTTGAAAATGATTTCAAGGACCTGGTCATGGGTGGCCTACAGTATAACCACACCTGTGCAATGCTAACAGTTCTTGCACTAGCTTTTCCAGACTGCACCTGAACTTGTTTAGCTCTATTCAACATTCCCACAATGAGACAGACACTGTTCCACTTTAGATGAAAACAAAAAACTACAACCACTATGATAGTGTGGAAATACCCCATAACCTAAGGTTCCAGACATCTTGATGCAGGAAGCCTACAATTCCAAGCTAGGAAACTTCCTCCCCACCTACACAACTGGGGAAAGGGAAATTTCTTCTATGCCCCAAAATGTCTCTCTACACTTGAAGTCCAAGCTCAACTCTATATGGATTTTTAGGTCACATGGATGCAAAACACAAATGACACCACTGATAGGGTCATGTGTAACAATATAAGTCAGGCAAATTATATCCTTAAAGGTTCATTCTAAACTGAAACAAAGCCAAGTTGAAATCCATTTAAAAATTAAAATTGCCAAAAGGCAACCTTATGGGGTTATTTTTAATGTATCATAATGATAAATTCTGTTCCAGAATGCACTGTGCTACATAATGATTCTGCAGTTTTGCTGGAGCTTTTCTTATTTCTGCAGCTTTAAAAACATGTTGTTGGAAAGCAGACATCAAAGTGTCTTCCTTGTCTTAAAAGCATACCATTATGCTATTTCCAGTTTTATCAAGTATAAGTTATCAATAACATTGTGTATTTAATCAAGATTTTATTGCTTACAGTGCCTTCCAAGGAGGACCCAGTATAAATTTAATACAGAAAAGGAACTCAGGTTGATCCATGGGAGTCTATCTATGGGTAGAAAGAAGCTCTAGGGCTTAGTTTGAATTAGCTATACTAACAACATCCATTCTCCAAAAGGACTGATCCGTCCAAGCTCATTCAGAAAACATGTCTTTTTCATCGAGATCTGAAAGGTTCTAACACGTTATCGTTTACATACATTTTACTCGCACAAACAACAGCAACAACAAAAAACACTTATAAAATTTTTGCATTGCCTTAGTTTAAAAACAAATAAATCAGCCTACCTTGCAAAGGATTAAATATTACCTAGGAAGGATACCAAACTGATCTCGTGATAAATAGATTTCCAGGCCACTGTCACTCTAACCCTTCCATTTAGATTTTTCGGGGGCAAAGAATGAAATTTTTTATTTCCTTGTTGGAAATAAGATTCTGCATTAGGAGATAAAGAAGGTCGGGTAGTATCGGGTTTAAAGCCACAGGCTCCAGCGCTCCTCGCTGCCCTAACGCGGCGGGCAGGGGGAGCCAGGTGCAGCATCGCCTCCATGCTCCGAGACTAGACAAAGTCTTCGCCTCCACGCCGAGAGCAGGTGCGAAACGGACGCTCAGGGTTTCGGCGATTGCAACCATCTTCCTCCACCGCAGACCCGAGGCCGCCCTAGGAGAGGAACCTTCTAGTCCAGTCATCCCCGGGGGCCCGTTGGCTGAGGGCGGACAGTGCGGTGGATTCCTACCCTTTTCCCTGAAGGGTAATTTCCTACACCAGCCGCAGGACTCACAGTCCCACGCCCGCCCCCCGAAACTGAGCTGCAAAGGGGGTTGCAGGTGGGGCCCACCAGCCCCTCAGTGCCTTCCAGGAGAGGCGTGGGCCGGGACGGGGATCTCGGCCCCGGGTCTCTCCCCCTTGAGCTCCCGACGCCGCTCACCGTGAAGGGGACATCCCCGACGCTGCCCACGGAGTAGCAGTTGTCTCCAGGGTTGACAGCCCCGGTGAGGACCTGATGCAGATGCATCTCCGGAGCCCGGGCTGGCAAGGGACTGCGCGAGAGGAGCGACGAGCCCCGCGCCCGACCGCGAGAGCGCTTCTCCCTCCGCCTCCCTCGGGACCCACCCCTCGGCGGCTCCGGCTTAACGCCTTGCCCCGCTCTTGCCTTCCCCCTTCCTTGTCCCTGCCATGGGAGCTCCTCGACCGCTGCGGCCGCCCGGATCGCCGCTCGGCTGCGGAAATGCCCGGATGCTCCCACTGCCTGCTGCACCGGCGCACAAATGCGGGAGGAGCGCAAGGGTGCGTGTGAGGCGGAGGCGGGGGGGCCGCCGGGGTAGCGCGTGAGCCGGGAGCGTGCAGGAAAGGACGCTCCGCCCGAGGGAGAAGGGCGGTGCGCGCGCCCACCCTCGAGGGAGCTACAGTAGAGTGGGAGGGTAAACCCCTCCTCCAGCTGCTGGGCTCTTAGCTCAGTCCCGCTCCCCGCCCCGCGTTTGCGCGTGCGCGCGCAGTGGTTTCCAGGGCAATTGCGCGCGCCGCGTGGACCCTGGTCCCGGGATTGCGCGCGCAGACGTGCGGGAGTTCCCTCGGAGCCTCCCGGCTGCGGCCAGTGGGGGCGGGGCACGCAGCCGTCCTTCTCTGGGGACACGCCTGGGTTCTGTCGTACGCTCCCGAGTACACTGTGTGATGGTCCGGGCAGTTGACCTCAGGAGGACGCCAGTCACCGGGAAATTCCACCTCGGAAAATCTTAGATCCTGTAGGGCTTTTTGACAGTACCGAGCGTAAGGTATTTAATTTTACATAAATAATAAAGATATCTTGCAACTATTTGGAGAAGCCATACTCCCCTGACAGCAAATTATTTTGCTCCCACCTTTTGTGATGGGTGTTCTAGATAGCGAAAGGGCCCCCTAGAGACAGGTGACTCCTCTAGACTCTTTTCCACGCGTGATGTCACGGAATCGCAGAATCGTCTGATTTTTCCAGACCATAGGCTAAACTTTCGGTGAGGATACAGGACTCAGATCCCTACTCCAGGTAACTCCATCACCAATTTTTGAATCTATACTGCGTATAAGACACTAGGGCAGGGGAACAGAAGGGATTCCAAAGCACAGCTGTCTAAAAAAAAAAAAAAGGCAAGACGCCAAAAGTGTTGTGATTGAGACACAAAAGTCTATGCGCCACTGAGAAGGAAGAATGCTTTTGACTAAGGAGATGGATGGGTGAAGTGTAATGGAGAAGATGACAAACTCGGGGTAAAATTCTGGCAGTTTGAGATAGACAAGAAACTCTGCATTCAAATAGAGAAAATAGCATGAGCTGAGGCTTAGAGGTATAAAATGACAAGATGTGTTAGGGAACAAAGATTAGATTAATGTTTGGAGGAGATGATATATAGGGTGGGAAAAGGAGAAGATACTTCGCAAGAGAAAGGTATCCAAGAGGTAGCTTGTGGCCTGCTTGAATAAGGAGAGTCTTGAATGCTCCCTTAAGAAGCTTAGGTTTCATTCTGCATGCAATGGGGACTCCATCAAACATTTCTGAGCAGAAACTTCTACAGAGCTCCTTCAGGAAGATGACTTTGTAGCACTGTGAAGGATAATTAGAAGGGTGGGGAGATAGGAGGCAAAGGCCTGGCAGAGTTTGGTAGTATGTTTGGTGGAGAAAAAAAGAAGGAGGAGTCAAAGATAATTCTCAACAACCAGGGATATTTTCCTTTTCCTTTCTGTTTAGTGCCATAATTTACCCCCAGTCACCCAGACTAGAAACGCAGAGCCACTTTTGGCTCCTTCCTCTCCTGCCCAAACCTAAGGGTCCCTTATCAAGATCCCTAACTCATGACCCTGAGCATTCCCTTCCCTCTACAACTACCCCGCCTGCCCCGCCGTTATTTACTTTCATTTCAGCCCCCATCATTTCTCATTTAATTACCATAATGGCTTCCTAACTAGTCTGACTGCCTTCCATCTCTGCTCTCCAACACACTGCAGCCAGAGAAACCTTTTTAAAGGAAAAAATTCCTCCACTTAAAATCTCTACTCCTTACAGGCTGAAGTCTAAACTCCTTAGTTTGGCTGATAGACCCATTCATTCTGGCTTCTGGGGAATTTCCTGTTTTATCTCAGGATGTTCCCTCATATCCACCGTTTTCCAGCCTCACTGAGCTATTTGCCATTTCCAGAACATACCATGTTGTTTTATGCTTCCTTGTCTTGGTTCATGCTTTCTGCTCTGTCTGGAATGCTCTTCCTCCTCTTATTGACCCAATAAACCACAGTTTAGTTTAAAAGTCACCTATTCAGTAAAGCCTTCCTTATCTACCCCCAAATACCTTGAGGCTTCCTCCTCTTGAAACACACATATCACTTACTGTTTTGTGTCTGTTTCTTCCACTAGAGTCTTACATTTTAAGTCAGGATCAGTAGCTTATTTTCTGTTTCCCACAACTGTGAATCATAGCACAGTAGGCCCTTCCTTGAACAATGCAGGGATTAGGTAAATGAAGCCCCATGTTGTGCATGAAGTATCATGAAGGCAAATATTGGTGCTGCGTCTTGGTACTAGCAACTGAAAAGCATGCCACATAGCAAATGAATTTGGGAGAATATACATATATATATAAAGCACATATCAGTAAAAATTGGTGTAAAGCAAGCAGGATTAAATACAACAGATTTAAATAAATTTATAAGAAGGTTTAGGGGCACCTGGATGGATCAGTCAGTTAAGCATCTGCCTTCTGCTCAGGTCATGATCCCAGGGGTCCTGGGGATTGAGCCCTACATCCGGCTCCCTGCTCAGCGGGGAATCTGCTTCTCCCTCTGCCTCTTCCCCCCAGCTCGAGCTCTCTTTTGCTTGCTCACACTCTATCTCTCTCAAATAAATAACTAACATCTTTAAAAAAAAAAAAAAAAAGAAGGTATAGTACATGTAGACAAACATTTCAGTAAAAACTGGAACAAAACATACAGCTAAATAATACTGTCAATAGCATTATAACTCGCTATTATTTAAAACATTTCACAATTGGCTCTAGTTTTACAGCATTCCATGAAGTTTTGAGCCATTACACAGTTGTAAAATTGTAAGCCTCTTCCTTCTTCCTTTTGGTATCAACTCAAAATCTGGAGCCTGCATCTACTTGTTCCTCTCTTCCCTTCTGAGTCCTTTACATGACTTTTTTTTTTAAGATTTTATTTATCTGTTTGAGAGAGAAAGAGACAGAGCACCAGCTGGGTGGAGGGGCAAAGGGAGAGGAAGAGCAGGGAACCCGACAGGAGCTCAGGATCCCAAGATCATGTCCTGAGCCAAAGGCTTAACTGAGTCACTGAGGTGCTTCCGTTTTTATTTTTATTTTTAAGATTTATTTATTTAGGGTGCCCAGTGGCTCAGTCGGTTAAACGTCTGACTTCTGCTCAGGTCATGATCCCATGAGACCTGGGATCGAGTCCCATATTGTGCTCCCTGCTTGTCTGGGAGTCTGTTTCTCTCTCTCCTTTCACCACTCCCCATGTTCGTGCTCTCTCTCACATGTGTGTGCTTGCTCTCTGTCTTTCTCAATTTATTTATTTATTTATTTATTTATTTATTTAAGAGAGAGCAGGTATGCACGAGCAGGGAAGAGGGGAAGAGGGGGAGGGAGAGAGAGAATCTCAAGCATACTCTACACAGACCATGGAACACGATGTGGGCTCAATCCCAGGACCTGAGATCATGACCTGAGCCAAAATCAAGAGTTGATCACTTAACCGACTGAGCCACCCAGGTGCCCCTAAATGACTTCTTGATAGCAACATCTCAGGTTAGCAACTGGCTAGTTAATTCTCCTAGAATTACAGCTGAGCCTTTTCTTGTCTCTGTGACCAACCAAAACTCCTTCCAGACTAATATGGCATGTTTCCTTAGTAGCCCACCCAACCACATTTTAACTGTCCACAATTCATTTCTTCCTCATTCATCCAACCTTCTGTGAAGACCTAAAATTTTTTTTTCTTCTGATCTGCAAGTGATTTTCTTTTAAAAAGTAGGAAAGTATCACCAACAGAACATACTAATAAAACTATAAAGTATAATTTCTCACATCCACAAGTTTTAATTGTAACAAATGTTGTGCCTTTGGGATTGGGCTTAATGGAACACTGGATGACAGAGGGACTTAGTTTCCCAGCAGTAATCACATACTCCTCTGTACTAGTTATCTATTACTGTGTAACAAATTACCGCCAGAAGCAGTGGCTAACTTCAAAAAAAAAAAAAAAAAAACCCACACACACAGAGTTTCTGTGCATCAAGAATTCAGTATGGCTTAGTTAGGGTTCTAGTTCAAAGTCTTTCAAAATTTCAGCGAGGCCTGGTCATGATCTCAGGATCCTCAAGGTTCTCTGCTCAGCAGGGAGCCTGCTTCCCTCCACACCCTCTGCCTGCCTCTCTGCCTACTTGTGATCTGTCAGATAAATAAATAAAAATCTTTTTAAAAAATTTCAGCTAGGCACTAAAAAGAAGCTAGACACAAAAGACCACATATTGCATGATTCCATTTAGATTAAGTTTTCTGAAAAGGCAAATATATAGACACAGAAAATACATTAGCAGATGCCTGGGGCTGGTAGTGGAAAGGGAAGTAACTGCTAATGGGCATGGCATTTCTTTTGGCATGATGGAAATATTCTAAATTTAGATTGTGGTCATAATTGCACAAGTCTGTAAATTTACTAGAAATCATTGAATTATACACTTAAAATTACTGAATTTTACAGTAACTAAACAATAACCTCAAAAAAAAAATCTATCTTAAAAAGGAGTGTCAGGGGCACCTGGGTGGCTCAGTGGGTTAAAGCCTCTGCCTTCGGCTCAGGTCATGATCTCAGGGTCCTGGGATTGAGCCCCGCATTGGGCTCTCTGTTCAGCAGGGAGCCTGCTTCCTCCTCTCTCTCTCTCTCTCTGCCTGCCTCTCTGCCTACTTGTGATCTCTCTCTCTCTGTCAAATAAATAAATAAAATCTTTAAAAAAAAAAAAAAAAAAAAAAGGAGTGTCAGCCAGAGATACAGTCACCTGGAAGCTGGAC